TCTGGCGGTCATACAAAAGCTGTTGGCAGAATGAGCAGAGCTAATTCTCCTGGCACCCTATTGGCCAAGTAGGCCCTTGTTTATGGACCTGGTCAACCTGTCTGTGGCTTCCCCGGCCCATCTTATCTCCCTGCACCAAGGCACCCTGATCCATCCAGAGCCCCAGTGGCTCAAGCTGACTGTGTGGCACTTGAGTGGCAGTGGCTAAGGGAGGCTAATCTCCCAGAGGGGGTTATCCTTACCATCCAGGCGTCTGCAAACCTTCTACGAGGCGCCTCTATGATGCCACCTGGAGGGTTTTCTCCAAGTGGTACCTCAAGGAGGGTCTCTCTCCTTCCTCAGCCCAGTTAGCAGAGGTTCTTAGATTCCTTCAGGATGGCTTGGAGAAAGGTTTAGCCCCCAATACTTTACGTCACCAGGTAGCGGTTCTCTCCTCAGTTCTTTCAAGGGGTTTGCTTGCTTTCTTTCCCATCACCCCTCGGTCAGGAGATTTTTGAAAGGGGCTTCCAACCTACACCCTCCTGTGGTGCACAGGTATCCTTCATGGGACCTTTACTTGGTTCTTAATGCCCTTACGAAGCCCCCTTTGAACCCCTTAGAACAGTGTTTCTCCAATTCCTAACTTTAAAGGTAGTTTTCCTCGTTTCTATCACTTCGGCCAGAAGGGTGTCAAAACTGGCCGCCCTTCTATCAGGCAGAATTTTTGCATCTTTCACAATGATAGGGCTGTTCTCCGTCTGGACCCCTCTTTTATTCCAAAGGTTAACACTTGGTTCCACCAGTCCCAAGACATTGTGTTACCTGTGTCCCCTTCAATGCCATGACTTAGAGCGCAAGTGGCATACTCTAGATGTCAGAAAGGCTCTTAGAATTTACATCAAGCGCACTTTGTCTCCTTTGTTTGTCTCCTTTTTACCTTCTCACTTGGGGAGCAAGGCCTCTTCCCCTATTATTAGCAGTTGGGTCAGAACCTGCATCACACAAGCCTTCAAAGCGGTGGCTCTTCCGGTACCCCATGGTCTAACAGTGCACTCTACCAGAAGTGCGGCCACTTCAGCTGCCTGGGCCACCCAGGCATCCTTGGAAGAGATTTGCAGAGTAGCCATGTGGACATCCCCATCTACCTTCATCAGACACTACCATCTGGATTCCTTTGCCTCAGCGACAATGGTCTTCAGCAGACAGGTTCTTCAGCGAGTGGTTCCACCATCAGAGTTATTGGCCGGACGAGGACCCACCCGTGGACATGCAAGATTTGGTATGTCCCATCCTGGGCTCTCGTTGCAGCATGGAGGAAAATGGGCATTGGTAAATTTACCTGTGAACGTCCTTTCTATCTATGCTGCGAGAGAGCCCAGCCGTTCCCTTGGTTCATCTGGAGATGGTAAGCCATGTTAATATATTGGATTATTTGCTTTCAGAGACACTTCTTCAGTCTGTCAAGTATCTTGGCCAAAGCTGGGGATTCTCCCAGGGGCTGGCTTTTTAAATACAAGTACAGACTCAGCTTAATGATGTCATAAGAAGGAGTCTACCCATCCTGGGCTCTCTCGCAGCATAGATAGAAAGGACGTTCACAGATAAATTTACCAACACCCACTTTCAATAAATGTTGGCACAGGAATACTGCAATGGCTATAACTGTAAGAACCCCCAAATGTGCTTTTTCAAGAGCCAACTGGACTTTCTACTTTTCTTTGAAGACATTCGATTCTCATCCAAGAAGCATCTTCAGCTGAAGAAAAACCAGAAAATCCAGTTGCCTCTTGAAAAAGAATCTTTGGGACAACCATGACCTGGATAACTGAGAATCTCCATAAACAACTACAAGAAATGTACTGCATTCAGTACTTTTGTAACTTCAAATGGTGGCTGAATGAGTGATTGCTGAACGAGGGCTACATGTACAGATCAGGAAATGAAACTTCTGGTCCTGAATTGGAGAGAAAGCAGAAGATGATTCTCAAGGAAAGTCATTTTCAACAATCTAGAATAGATTGACAGGAAACCAGACATATTTCCATCCCCATGAGAGGGGTAAGGGCTCTGTAGGCTTATACAGAGAAAGAGAGAAACACAGAGGTCAGAAGTATAATTTTTTTTTTATAAAAAATAATTTTGAGGCTGGTGTTTGTGTGACAGAAAAATAAAGACAAGCCTTATTTAGGAACCAACTTGATGCTGGAAAAGCATGAGTTAAATGCCTTATGTCTGTCCATTGCTAAGAGCCTACAGTATGCCTTCCCTGTCTTGGAAAGAGAGTAATCTCATCAGGTAAATATCTGAATGGCTTAGGCCAAACTCATAAGAGAAAGGACTGAACTGGAAGAGGAAGAAAGTGATAAAGCCCCAAGAATATAAGTTTAAAACATTTTGATATCGAAGTAATGTATAATTTTGAGAAATTCATTTTCATTGGGGGAAAAAATGATTCAGAGAGGTGGTTATTCTTTCTCCAAGTTCCACATTCAACAGGGTTATCCACAGCTGCTTTTTCTAAACCAAAAGGTGAAGAATCTCAGGAATAATATTCAGAGGGCTGCTAATATAATATCCTATTTTACCTATGCTAAGTATATTTATCCGTATGTTTGTTCTTAAAAAAAAATGAAATTACTTCTTATGAAGTAATGAAATAAAACCCGCTTTGGAATAAATGACTTGAATCCACTAGTTAGCCTTAATTATTTCTTGTTTCATTTATGATTAATTACACTTGCAATACTAGTGACTGTTGTGAGCTGGGGGGTAAATGGTGTAATAGACTTGTTAGGGTTGGCAGAACTTGAGGAAAACTTAATGTGGTATGTTTCCTTCAGTATTTCACTCTCATCCCCTTACTTTTAAAACTATGAGGATTTGTATTTTCCACCCTTCATAATGTAATCCATTATCGGTTTGAGTTTGAGGTATTTCATATTTTAAGTTATTTTGTCCTTTCAGGGTCTTAAGGCATTATGTATTTATTACTGCATTACAGGTTCATAGATGATGTATCCTCCTTAGGCAAGCACATTGCCATTGTGCTGTTATTGTTTTTAATTAACGGTAAAATGAGTGGAAGGAAGCAATCTCTTACTTAAAATGCAATGGTCTCATGGAAAACTGGAAAATAAATCCTGGGGCCCTTTTCATCCTTGTCAATAGGCTCCAAGCCAGATGTTCTCTTCCATTTTTTAACATCCAACTTTAAATATATTTGTCGTCCTCCTAATATCTCCAATGTAATAGCTTAGCATGAAATATGTTTAGTCATAGAATCTTAATGTTCCTAAATGCTAGTAGCATGGAGAAAAACTTGAACACTTGTAGCAGTGTAACTGTATGAAGGTATCATTAATTCAGGTAGATACAGAAGGTAACATTAATCATCCAAAAAGCTAGTCTTCTGATTCCATGATTTGGCAGGCTGGAATTCGTTTCATATGTGGTGATTAATGGAAGCCACTTTCCAGTTTAGTAAAATGAACATGGGTTGCCCAGTTTCACAAGATAGTCCCATCATTTGACCCAACTAATGTAATCCAGATTTAATTTATCAGATAATTAAAAAGGAATAAATTCTTAAAGAAGTATGTCCCTATTAAAAAACACTTTACTCCTTATAATGAACACATTTGTCCTGCTCTTAATCAACTGAGAGTTACCTAGAATTATGTGTTAGTCATGACAGGAATGCTGTTGTTTAATTTTGTATCGATGAAGGAAGATAGATAATGAACTTTAACCTCCTGTTAATTGTAGTATATTTGATGTCATCAAAAGTTAACTGATTTTCCTTCTTATGTTACAGTAAATGAACATTTTCTCAAACATTTAAAAAGTTGCCGGGCTCTTAATAAATGTCAGGGTATGAATTATCAAAGAGTATTCAGCTAGGTCACAATTAATACAAGTTCAAATAATGCAATATTCAATTTAGTGCAAATTGTAAATTGGTAGCAGGTTGAGTTTAATGCAACCAAAAAGTCAATTAATGTGAGGTTAGTACATGTGCAGTTGTGGTTGGGATTTTAGACACTACTAATTTTGTGTGCAACAGGGAGAAAAGGAAGATTCCAGTTTTTCTCCTGGGCGTGTGGTGATGGCGCAAACATGGCTGCCATTTTCTCTCACTCACTTGTGAGCAGAGACAAAATGGCAGCTACCATACAAACTGCTTCATTTTGCTGACTTAACGTGGTCTGTACAAATCTGAAAAAGTTTTTGCGGTACCATGCAGACCTTGCTAAGGCAGCAGAACGAAGCAATTTGTCCCTGGGCCATGCAATGGAAACCTGAATGGGTCCACTATAAGTGTGTAGGACAAAATGGTGGCCGCTTCTGGAACTGCACCATGCAGCTACACAGAAAAGCAATTCTTTCCAGTATTCTGGAAGGCTCAAAGCCCTTCAAAAAATAAATGAGGAGGCAGTTGTTTGGCCTGGTAGGATGAGAATTGGGACTAAGGCTGGAAAAAGACTCATGGGGTGGGAAGTGGAGCACAGGGTATCTTGGAGTGGTGGGGGCGGCCTTAGAAGAGCAGGCAGGTGTTGGCTTGTGCTAGGCCTCCAAGGGTCTCCTCCATCCCTGAGGTCCCTGAATTCCCCTTAACAACCCAGGCATTAATTTAACAATTCATTGGGTCAAGCAGGGGTGAGAGTTTATTAGATGAAATTCTCCACTTAATGACCATCGCAATATGAAAATGTAATGGGCAGGCTCCATTATGGTCATATCTCAAGGACCTGTATTTTACTATTGGGCTTTATCTAGCCATAATTAGTGATTTCAGTTCCCACTTAAATAAATGGAATTTTATTTGTAAATATTGTATGCTCATGGGTATCTTCTCTGATCCCATCACATTTAGAGCAGTATACTTTTAACTATATAATAGTTTGCAGATTTAAGTAACTGGATTGTCCTTCTAATAATGCTTGTTATTTGTTCTTTTGTTATTTGTTCATATTTGTTCTTTTTTTTAAGCATCTTGTTCTTTTTTTTTAATATTTCTGAAGGTCTTAATATGGGGGATGTCAAGCTGGTATCGACTCAGATCTCCAAAGCCACCTTGACTTTGAACCATTCTTCTCTAAGAACTCCCACTGCAACAGAAGCACCAGCATTTATTCTACCTCCACGAAATATCCAGGTGCCATTTGGAGGCACAGCAAAATTTGAAGGACAGGTAACCAGAGCTATACTATACAATAATACAGTCTATTCTCTGGTATTCTGAAGAGAGTGGAGAAAGTGTGTGTCTATGTATTTTATATATGAAAGTCATCTGTGTACAAGTGTAAGAGAAAGGCATTAAAGGTGATGTTGTTGATATTATTATCATTATATATTGGTTTAGTGTTGACTCCTGGCAATTTCCAGAACTATGTGCTTCAGTTTTCTTGGCAAGAAAATTTGTTTGTCATTGCCTTTTTTTTTAGGGTTTAAGATGACTGACCCAAAATCACCTAGCTGCCTTCATGCCTATAGACAGAACATACATTTCTACCATAGTACCTTAACCATTACATTAAACTGATTCTTTTATTGTGAATTAATCATTATTAATTCAGTTAATATAAATTTCATTTTTATTCTGTCCTTTTTGCAAGGCATAGTTTTTGTTCTATTTGATTTTAGGTTATTTATTTTTCCTTTTTCATTTATGCATGAGGGATTTTAAGACAACCCAATTATTTTGGCCTTAACCATGTAAATTTGAAGATCTTATTTCCAAAGTGCTAATTAGGATTGTGGTAGCAAATGTCACTTCTCGATAAACAAAAACTTTGTGCTTTTTCTGGATTTGTTTATGTACGATCAGATATTAACAAGATGTTTATAGTTTTCTCATTTTTTCTCAGTTATCCGGAAGCCATAGATGAATGTTAAGATAGATTTTTGGCTGTTAATGTTGCCTTCATTACATAATATAAATACTAAGAATATTGAAATAATGGCTAGACAATAAATTTTCTTCAAAGAACTTTTTCCACTAGAATTTATGTAATCAGAAAGAATAAACTCCTTGACATTTCAAGACAGAAAATAAGGATAATATTGTGAAGACCTTATGTTCTCATTTTAGAAATATCTAGTAAGAATACTTCAGAAAAAAAAGCTTTATTCTTTCCTAAATATATAAAAAGCTTGTAAAGCACTTTGGATGAAAAAGAATGATGGAGCTTTAGAAAATGGCATAAATTCATAGCAAATATTGTAAAGTAGAAAAATATTTAATTACATTTGGGGGAAAGGTCAACATCTTTATGAATAAATTCATTTTGTTTTAAATCAAAAGTGTATAGTGCATCTTTCTAGATTACTCATAAAAATTGGCTATGGTAGTACTAAAATACAAAATGAAACATATAAAAATATGAATATATAAATGAATGTCTATAAAGAAAAGTGCTTTAAATTCATAAAAATTAATTGAAGGTACCTGTATGGAATAGGGGGTAGTAGCCTTTCTCTACATATTCTTTTGTATAAAAAATTGTTAGCAAAATTGGTGGGTGTAAAGGACATTTCTAGAAATCCAAGTTTCTAGAAATACTATACTACTAATATGAATGCGTCACAATTGGCCTTAGATGAATCTTTAATATCTCTAAAAAATTAACACCATGGTTAAAATTAAATAGCAAGTGGAGATTTTCTAGAGGCTATTAGTTTCTCTGAATTTTCCTGGACATGGCACCTACTGTAACTGTGAAGAAAGAAATTTAACAAAACCTGGGTGCAGTCTTTGACGAAGCAGGAAAGAATTTAACCTATCCAGACTAATGAGTGCAGTGGCTATGCAGAATAGGAATTCAACTGGCATTTTAATTTGTACATGCTTAAGCTTTACTTGGTTTCCAAACTTAGTTTTCTCTGAGGTCTAATTCCCATTTTACAGTACAGAAGTGTTTTCCTATTCCTCTTTTGTCCACACTTTTTCTATTGAGGCCTAACCCTTTTTCTTTATGTCTAACATTCATCTGTGTTTACTGTAATATGTTCATAATAAGATTCTAAACACTATTTTAAACAATTATTTTGGGAGGCCAATTTACGTTTTGTGTTTATAATCTGGTACATGTCTTGAAAACTTAATCTTCTCCAGACTGATCATCAGACACCAGATTTAGGGTGTCGTTTGTTTTTCCAAAAAGCAGAAAGGGAATGGCATTTTCCTTCTTTTTTATTTTTCCTATAAACTCCTGTAACTTCTGAGTGCAGCAAATACCAGCAAAAAGCATTAATTAATGCTTTATCCTTGGTATTCTATAGTAAATTATAGTAATAAAAGTCTGCTTACAATTATGAGTTAAAATTGCAAAGATGATGAAGAAATAGATCAAAGGCAGTTTAATCCAGTTGTCTGGTATTTTATAGTATTCAAAGGTCCAGCCCCTGTTGAGATCGACTATTTGACACTTTTAGTTTCTGTATATTAAAAATATTGATTCATTCCTGTCTCTTCCCAATTAAAATACTTTAGCAATGTTATGAAAAAAGAAAGCAAACAGCAGGTCTCCCTTGATAGTAATGTTTCCACATATGGTGTTTTGGGTTTTTTAAGAGAGTAGACTGTTGATACTGAAATTGCAGTATCTAATTATTCTCAGTTATTTTTCTTTTTCTATTTGGATACTAGTGATTATCCATTTTGGAATCTGAATACATTATTTCAAAACCTTATTGGTCACAATATTTTGGGTAACACTCCAACATTCACAATACCCAATAGCAACTATTCTCAAAAACACGCCCCATTATCGCATGATTTGGGGTGCGTGTGTGGAGGTTGCAGAAGAACGGGGTGTGCTTTCATACGGCTTCTGGAGCCTCTGAAAATAATGCAAGAATGGGGAGTACTGTTGTGTGTTTTTCAGAGGTTGCAGTGGTCATGGAAGAGCATTCTCCAAACCTACTTCAAGAATGAAGGCCACATGCGACTTGGAGCAACGTTGATTAGGCTGCAGAGGCCTATCAACAGAAAGAGAGCATAGGCATCTGAACATACGTAGTGTGGGGACATAAGCAGTGTGTGGCAGATCCTGGGACTGCAAGGCCACCTTTCTGAGTGCGAGCGGTGACGTTAGAATCAAAGTTGAGGTCCGGCCTCTATTTCAGGCCCAGTCTGAAGCCACAGTCAGCAGCCACTGAGTGCTGCTGCTCAGATGTCCTAGATGGAATGGGATGTGTGGGGCAGAGAATTGTTTCTCTTTTGTTCAGGGGAGGAGGGATAACACACCAGCAGAGTAAAGTTAGGCATTTTCGGAATTCTTGACGTGCCAAGCCCCAAAGGTTCTCCATTATTTTTTTAACAGCACACAACATAATTCATTGATTTGTGCTTCCTTGGGTTGATATTATGTTTCATTTGAGCAAAATTAAGCATGTTTCCTATGGTTGCCTGTTAGCTAGAATTTTATTGAGCCCTTTACTTTGTTTTGACAAGGATCAATATGAAGAGACCTGCTCATAAAACTGATCAATTGCATTCTCTTCTCTGTATAGTTCAGGATAACTATGGAAGACAAAATAAATGTATTCCTGATGTTTGAGAAATAAAATCATTCTGCTCCAATGAAAGCACTTTGGAAATTTTTTTAGATCAGCTGAAGTTTAATTTTTATCATTTAGAATGGAAGTATGAAATGGTATCATGCATTACATTACATTGAGGCACTTTGCTTGGAAGCATGCCATTTTCATCATTTACTTTTGTCTTTCTGGCATGGGAGATGGCCTTGATTCTATAAATCTGATGCCAGGCTAAACAAAGCCAGCTTTACACACGAGCATTATTTTCATGTCTACCAGGAAATGGAAAACCTTAAACTTGCTCTTAATTTTAATTTATATTGAGGCTGCATATTATATTTGACTTTTCCAGAACCTGCCAATAGCCTCTCTGTATCAGGTAAGAAGACAATGCATATATGGTAGGTTTCCACCCTTTCTGTTCCATGCTTTGAAGTATAGGTATTTTTAGCATCAGAGTCATTAAGGTATTTGTGAACCTTTTCTGTTTCTACAGGTAGTCCTTGGCTTACAACAGTTCATTGAGAATTCAAAATTACAACAGCACTGAAAAAAGTAACTTATGGCCATTTTTCACATATATGACCATTGCAGCATCCCCACGGTCACGAAATTTACATTCAGATGCTTGACTACTGACTCATATTTATGATGGTTGCAGTGTCCCAAGTCATGTGATCCCCTTTTGTGACCTTCTGACAAGAAAAATCAATGGGGAAACCGGGTTCACTTAACAGCTTTGTTAGGAATCACAGTGATTCACTTAACAAATGTGATGAGAAAAGTCACAAAATGGGGCAAAGGTCACTTAACAAATTTTTCCCTTAACAACATAAAATTTGGGCTCAATTGTGGTCATAAGTTGAGGACTACCTATATTTTGAAAAAGCAGTTAGCACTGCCTAGCTATCCGTGTCAATAGAGGTTTTGGAGCTGCTTGATAGTATTTTTTTTAGGGTCATAGTTTGCAAAAATCTAGTTGGAGACAACAAATTATTTCTCCTAGTGGTGACATTCATAGTCAGTGGTTTATTTAAAAAAACAAAAACAAAACCAACTCATTGGCAAGCCACACAAGCCTGTTTGGTGGCATGTTGTTCAGCCTGGCTAGAGATCATCTCTCTTCGACATGTTTATAGTATTGCTTATAATTAACAGTCTGCAAGGAGACGATCAAAAAAAATAAGATGGCAGCAGTGATTGTGTGATCCAGACTATCTATCTGTAACTATACCTATACCTATACCTATATCTATAATATATTTAGCAATAAATACATATTTTCTCCTCTTCTCCTCTTCAGGTGCCACTAGTTAAATAGGTACTTATTTGACTTTTTAAATTTTTAGTTGACAATCTGTAATAGTCAAGTTACTGTCTTTCATTCAAGTGAACTTTTCAGGAGCACAATTCCTTGTTTTATTCTTTATGAGTTGCTCTGAAAGTTTTAATACTGGGTAACTATAAATAAATGGCTCAGTAAATCCTATTGATTCTAATTCCAGAACACTCATGGCAATCATGCTTGCTAAACAGCTATGATTATTTTGCAAGTGGCAAGTTTAAAAAAGACCACAAACTGTATCCCTGGTAAGCTTGCAGTCCAAAAAAGAAACTTCTAGTATATCTTTCAGATGTGTTCAGCTACCA